AACGACGTCCGAGTCCGTTTAGGCCGGTCCAGGTCCAGGCCTTTGGGCAGGATTATCTCCCGGATCGAGCCCTTCGCATCTGAAAAACCACAAGAGTCAGACAGGAGGAGGAGAGGAGCGAGGGATTCTACAGGAGGAGGAGAGGAGTGAACGAGAGGAGGATCAGAGGAGGAGCTGAAGTTTGAGGAGGTCTGATGATTCCCCGGCAGCTCAGGGAGTTTCTCTTTTGGTTTCATGGTCGTTTGTATTTAAATTATGCGCATAAATTAGAGGTATTTGTCAAAACAAGGCCAGAGCCGCCGTGAAGGAGAAGCCGCTCAAACGCCGCTCAAACCGTCACAGCAGAGAAAACTGGTTAAAACTCATTAGATCAAGACTAACAGAGGTGCATGATGGAAGAACAAGACCTGGTCTGGTCCTGGTTCAGTCCTGGTCTGGTCCTGGTCTGGTCCTGGTCTGGTCCTGGTCTGGTTCTGGTTCAGTTCTGGTCTGTGGTTCTGTTCGTCCAGTTGGGGGCAGCACATCAAACAAACTTCAGAAATATTTTTTGTAAATGTTTGTGTTGTTCAGTTGAAAATGAAAATCTGAAGCCCGAGTTGATGTGAGATGTGAACAGGTGCGACAGGTGCCGACAGGTGCCGACAGGTGCCGACAGGTGCTGACAGGTGCTGACAGGTGCTGACAGGTGCTGACAGGTGCTGACAGGTGCTGACAGGTGCCGACAGGTGCCGACAGGTGCTGACAGGTACTGACAGGTGCTGACAGGTGCTGACAGGTGCCGACAGGTGCTGACAGGTGCTGATAGGTACTGACAGGTGCCGACAGGTGCGACAGGTGTCATAGTTTAAAGTGTGAGTGAGTTTGGGCTGATGGAGTTTATGTCGATCACACGAGAAACTTCAACTCACTTTAGAGTTAAAACACCAGAGTTTATATATAAGAGTTAAAACATTAGAGTTTATATATAAGAGTTAAAACATTAGAGTTAATAAACAAGTGTTAAAACACTAGAGTCACTTCTCTAGAGTTAATACATCTCACTTTAGCCTCACAGCTGCAACCTGGTTCAGTATAATGTTTTTCTAAGTCCTGGTTTAGTCCTGGTTTAGACCTGGTTTAGTCCTGGTTCAGTCCTGGTTTAGTCCTGGTTTAGTCCTGGTTTAGTCCTGGTTTAGTCCTGGTTTAGTCCTGGTTCAGTCCTGGTTTAGTCCTGGTTTAGTCCTGGTTTAGTCCTGGTTTAGTCCTGGTTTAGACCTGGTTTAGTCCTGGTTTAGTCCTGGTTTAGTCCTGGTTTTAGTCCTGGTTTAGTCCTGGTTTAGACCTGGTTTAGTCCTGGTTTAGTCCTGGTTTAGTCCTGGTTTAGTCCTGGTTTAGTCCTGGTTCAGTCCTGGTTCAGTCCTGGTTCAGTCCTGTTTAGTCCTGGTTTAGTCCTGGTTTAGTCCTGGTTTAGTCCTGGTTTAGACCTGGTTTAGTCCTGGTTTAGTCCTGGTTTAGTCCTGGTTTAGTCCTGGTTTAGTCCTGGTTTAGACCTGGTTTAGTCCTGGTTCAGTCCTGGTTTAGTCCTGGTTTAGTCCTGGTTTAGTCCTGGTTTAGTCCTGGTCCTGGTTTGGTTTAGTCCTGGTTTAGTCCTGGTTAGTCTTTAGTCCTGGTTTAGTTCTGGTTCAGTCCTGGTTTAGTCCTGGTTTAGTCCTGGTTTAGACCTGGTTTAGTCCTGGTTTAGTCCTGGTTTAGTCCTGGTTTAGTCCTGGTTTAGTCCTGGTTTAGTCTGGTTTTGGTTTAGTCCTGGTTTAGTCCTGGTTTAGTCCTGGTTAGTCCTGGTTTAGTCCTGGTTTAGTCCTGGTTTAGTCCTGGTTTAGTCCTGGTTTAGTCCTGGTTTAGTTTAGTCCTGGTTCAGTCCTGTTTAGTCCTGGTTTAGTCCTGGTTTAGTCTGGTTTAGTCGTCTGGTTTAGTCCTGGTTAGTCCTGGTTAGTCCTGGTTTAGTCCTGGTTCAGTCCTGGTTTAGTCCTGGTTTAGTCCTGGTTTAGTCCTGGTTAGTCCTGGTTTAGTCCTGGTTTAGTCCTGGTTTTTAGTTCTGGTTTAGTCCTGGTTTAGTCCTGGTTTAGTCCTGGTTAGTCCTGGTTTAGTCCTGGTTTAGTCCTGGTTTAGTCCTGGTTTAGTCCTGGTTAGTCCTGGTTTAGTCCTGGTTTAGTCCTGGTTTTAGTCCTGGTTTAGTCCTGGTTTAGTCCTGGTTCAGTCCTGGTTTAGTCCTGGTTTAGTCCTGGTTTAGTCCTGGTTTAGTCCTGGTTTAGTCCTGGTTTAGTTCTGGTTCAGTCTTGGCTTGAGTTCAGAGTTTCTTGGTGAGACGCTGCAGTTCTGGTTTTTCCAACATCTTCACCACACGAGATATTTATTTATTTTTAATCATAATTTGATTTAATTTCATTTCATTTCATATTTAACCCCCAGAATCTTAAACCCTCAGATTTGTCGTCTCGTTCCTCGTTTGTGTCG